CGTTCTGGTCCACAATGATGATGTGGACCGTGACGTTACTGCTGAGTGGAGGAGAACCAGAGTCTCTGGCCTCGATGTGAAAAAGAAAATCCTTCTCGATCTCATAGTCAAAAGTTTTCAGTGCGTAAAGATTGCCGTTCTCTGGGTTGATGGAGAACAGCATGGACATGGAGGTGTTGGCTATCTCCTTCTCGAGGATGAAATAAACTAGATACTGGTTTTCATGGAGGTCAGGGTCAAAGGCAGTGAGGGAGCTGAGCAGGGCCCCAGGTGCGTTATTCTCCATCACACGTATCGTGTAAAATGACTGAGAGAACTGAGGTACATTGTCATTGACATCCAGCAGCTCTAAGGTCATAGTTTCATTGTCAGATAAAGGAGGAGAACCTCTGTCTGTCACAGTGAAAGTGATGTAATATTCTGGGACCTTCTCACGGTCTAACGGCTCTGACACCACTAACTCATAATAGTTATCAGAGGACTCCCTCAATTTGAAAGGCATATTATCAGGAATGTGAAGATCAACCACCCCATTGTCACCTGAGTCTTTATCACTGACACTAACTACAGCTATGACTGTGTCTAATTCTATGTTTTCATTGACTGGACTCTGAAATGACTTAATCGATATTTCTGGGTGGTTGTCATTCATGTCTTCCACCAGAATCTTTATGGTACATTGTCCTGACAAACTGCTGGCTCCTTTGTCTGTTGCTATGACTTCCATATCATAAATCCTGAAGTCTTCATAATTAAGCATTCCCTTTACAGTTACTTCACCCGTTTTGTGATTTAGATTAAAAGTTTCTTGAGTTTTCTCTGATGTGTACAAGCTGTATGAGTAAATTATCTCTGAATTTGAACCTTCATCTAAATCGGTCGCATTCAGACGAACTACAAGACTCCCAATAGGAGAGTTTTCCATCACACTGAACTGGTAGCTTTCGATCTCAAATTTAGGGGCGTTGTCATTTGTGTCTAAAATATGAACAATAATACTTGCAGTACCAGAACGAGATGGCATACCGCCATCTACAGCTGTAAGAATTAATTCATGAACAGCCTGTTGCTCTCTGTCCAAAGTCTTTTTTAGGATTAAATCAGCAAATTTTGATCCATCTCTCCCAGTTTGAATTTCAATTGTGAAATATTCACTTTCACTCAAGTGGTATGTTTTTACAGAGTTTGAACCAACGTCGGGGTCAACTGCATTGCTCACAGAAAAGCGTTCACCAGCATGCGTAGCCTCTGAAATATCTAAATCTATCGTGTCTCTCCTGAAATGAGGTGCGTTGTCATTAATGTCCAGGATCTCCAACTCGATATAAAATATTCGTTTAGGGTTTTCGATTATTGCTTCAATTTTTATATAACAAGATGTCTTGGCGGGGCACAGAGATTCCCTGTCAATTCGTTCGACAATGTACAGCTCCCCCGTTTCTTTGTTCACGTCCAGATATTTCCGATTAGTGATGGCCTCTATGCGCATTTTCCGCGCGATTAAGGTCTTCACATCTAGTCCCAAATCTCCTGCCAAATTTGCAACAACCGAGCCTTCTTCCAGTTCTTCGGGAACCGAGTAGTGTGTTACAGCTGATGTGTAATTGAAGGTGGCAACGAGATAAAGAACTGTCGGCACGTACCTTTTCCAATCTTCAGAACCGAGAAAACCTCCCATTGTAACGAGAGATCTGTCTTCCTCGGTGTTATCTTTTAAATTATCAGCAAATTATTTGGTTGTTCTTTAAATCGTCGGTTAACTCTTTAAACGATTGTTGAGCAAAAATATAGAAAAATCCTTGATTTCCAAAATTTTCAGCACCGGGAGCTGTTCACTCGACTTTCCCCGTTCAGGGAAATGTCTGCAATGGAGACCGTGATGTCACAAGAGTATATTAGATTGGGGAACAGCGACGCTGCTTGAACAATCTACATTGTGTTTATTGACTAGACATTTTAGGACTGTTTCTTTAGACAGAGTCGACCTCAAGTATAACATATTATTTCGTAAAATAATGAATTTCGATACTTTTAACTGCAATTCAGCTGGTTTGGCGGCTGTTTTGTGTTTTTTTTCTTCTTTGAACTTTCTCATTCTCAACAAATAAGATCTAAAAAAACCGGGATGAATATGTGTTTGAAGTTTGGCAAGAGTGAAGTTTTTTCTGATTGTATATTTTTACAGTAAATGTTCAGTTAACATGTACATTACAACTAATGAATTTTACTCGTAAAAGTTTAGAAAGCTACATCTTTAAAAAATACAACTAAAAAAAAGAATAGTAATCTATTTATCATCCATGTGTAGGTTTGTGTAGGATATTTTAGTTTCAGAGTGCAACGTTAAAAAACAGACTATTTTAAGAAAACTTTAAGAATTTTATATACGAATATTGTTATTTTTAAGAGTCTTCACGTATGTATGATTTGCTTAAACATGTGGCTCTTACCTGCAGAGTGGAGGCTGCTGAGTCACTCGTGTCTGTCAGTCCTGTTCCTCTTGGTAAACTAGACACGATGTATCTGGAGCCCTTTGGCACAGGCTGTCTGACCACCAGCTTTCCTTTCCTGGTCTCTGCTAGAAACAGACTGTACCAGTAAGCATCGTTGGAGACCAGAGTGGAGTCTGCGATGGTGGAGTTCCTCTCACTGATCACACTGTTCCTGCAGGGAGCAGCAGCTTTGCTGGGCTTGGATTTCTGACACTTGAGCACGATGGTGACCAATATGGTGATGAGCAGGAGAAATGACACAGAGCCCAGACCGATGACCAAATACAGGTTCAGGTCTGAGAAGATGTCGTACTCCAGAGGTACCTCAGTCATGTCAGAGAAGGCCTTAACTGCAGTCTCCATTGTGGACAGCTTGATGGTGACTGTAGCAGACAGAGCGGGCTCCCGTTGTCTTTAGCAATAACAACCAGTCTCTGGTGGCGCGGATCTCTGTAGCTGAACATCCTCATAGTCCGGATCTCTCCGTTGTACTGGTCCAGACTGAACAAGGTGGCGTCAGTCACCTGTAGAAACTGGTAGGTAATCCGAGAGTTGTGCACCGAGTCTGTATCTAAGGCTATCACCTTGGCAACCAGAGAGCCTTTATCGGTGGACCTGGGGATCTTTTCCTCCACCACCGAGCCGTGCGCTCGCCACGGAGACACAATGACCGGAGCGTTGTCGTTCTGGTCCACAATGATGATGTGGACCGTGACGTTACTGCTGAGTGGAGGAGAGCCAGAGTCTCTGGCCTCGATGTGAAAAAGAAAATCCTTCTCGATCTCATAGTCAAAAGTTTTCAGTGCGTAAAGATTGCCGTTCTCTGGGTTGATGGAGAACAGCATGGACATGGAGGTGTTGGCTATCTCCTTCTCGAGGATGAAATAAACTAGATACTGGTTTTCATGGAGGTCAGGGTCAAAGGCAGTGAGGGAGCTGAGCAGGGCCCCAGGTGCGTTATTCTCCATCACACGTATCGTGTAAAATGACTGAGAGAACTGAGGTACATTGTCATTGACATCCAGCAGCTCTAACGTCATAGTTTCATTGTCAGATAAAGGAGGAGAACCTCTGTCTGTCACAGTGAAAGTGATGTCATATTCTGGGACCTTCTCCCGGTCTAACGGCTCTGACACCACTAATTCATAATAGTTATCAGAGGACTCCCTCAGTTTGAAAGGCATATTATCAGGAATGTGAAGATCAACCACCCCATTGTCACCTGAGTCTTTATCACTGACACTAACTACAGCTATGACTGTGTCTAATTCTATGTTTTCATTGACTGGACTCTGAAATGACTTAATAGATATTTCTGGGTGGTTGTCATTCATGTCTTCCACCAGAATCTTTATGGTACATTGTCCTGACAAACTGTTGGCTCCTTTGTCTGTTGCTATAACTTCCATATCATAAATCCTGAAGTCTTCATAGTTCAACATTCCTTTAACAGTAATTTCACCAGTGGAAGGATTCAGATGAAATGTTTCTTGTGTTTTCTCTGATGTATATAAACTGTATGAGTATGTTACATCAGAATTAGATCCCTCATCTAAGTCTGTGGCATTAAGATGGATAACAAGGCTCCCAATGGGAGAATTTTCCATAATTTGTATATTATAACTAATTTTGTCAAATGTAGGAGCGTTGTCATTTGTGTCTAAGACGTGAACAACGATGCTAACTGTGCAGTTCGAGCCGGTGTTCCTCCATCTACAGCTGTGAGTATTAAATTATGAAAGCCTTGCTCTCGATCTAATATTTTTCAAGATTAATTCTGCAAATTTTGATCCATCTCTTCCGGTTTGAACCTCGATATAAATGCTCACTTTCACTCAGATGGTACGTTTTGACTGAATTGGTTCCAACATCAGGATCCACTGCATTGCTTAGAGAAAATCTCTCTCCTTTCGGCGTTGATTCAGATATGTCTAAAGGTATGACGTCTCGCCGAAACTGTGGGGCGTTGTCGTTCATATCCAGAATTTCTACTTCTATGTTAAATATCCTTAGTGGATTTTCTAGTATTACTTCTAGTTTGAGATAGCAAGATGCAGACGACTTTGTATTACAAATATATTCTCTGTCAATCTTCTCAAGAATGTACAGTTCCCCAGTCTCTTTATTCACGTCCAGATATTTTTACTTGCGATGATATCAAGTCTCATCTTCCGTTGCTTTAGTGTTTTAACATCCAGGCTCAGATCGGTGGCAAGATTAGCAACGACTGATCCTTCTTTCATTTCTTCTGGTATCGAATAATGAGTCACTGAAGCCGATATGTGATGAACAAACGAGACAAGAATAACGAGCAGCACGTACCTTTGGAAAGGCTCCATTGTTACAATGTGTCCCATTGTTGTGTGCGCGTGAACTGCCGTAAAACCGATATCATTTAAATTTCCAGTTATGATGAAGATTGTTGTTACTGCTTTGATCCCATGAAAATGTACATAGTACTACTCACGAGAGCATTTAGGCGCTATACAAGACAACAGCGTTTTAGGATTAGAGTTTCAGCACCACGGAGCTGTCCGGTATGCTCACAATGGGCACGGATGAGAAGGACTATTCACCAATATGGCGTTCATGGGTTGGCATTTTACTTATAAAACAGCGCCACCTTCTGCATTTGACAACACATTGTGTCCATGAAGCATATTTAATAAATAATAATTAAAAAGGCAGATAAAACCTGTTTTTACTTATTTATTTGCACATATTTTGCTGAAAGTAATCAGAAACTCTATTAGGAGTTGTAGCACTCTAAATTGCATGTTAGGGCATGTAAAAAAAAAAAGTTCTTGGTAAGTGATGTATAAAAAATGAATCGATTTTTACTCTTACCTGCAGAGTGGAGGCTGCTGAGTCACTCGTGTCTGTCAGTCCTGTTCCTCTTGGTAAACTAGACACGATGTATCTGGAGCCCTTTGGCACAGGCTGTCTGACCACCAGCTTTCCTTTCCTGGTCTCTGCTAGAAACAGACTGTACCAGTACGCATCGTTGGAGACCAGAGTGGAGTCTGCGATGGTGGAGTTCCTCTCACTGATCACACTGTTCCTGCAGGGAGCAGCAGCTTTGCTGGGCTTGGATTTCTGACACTTGAGCACGATGGTGACCAATATGGTGATGAGCAGGAGAAATGACACAGAGCCCAGACCGATGACCAAATACAGGTTCAGGTCTGAGAAGATGTCGTACTCCAGAGGTACCTCAGTCATGTCAGAGAAGGCCTTAACTGCAGTCTCCATTGTGGACAGCTTGATGGTGACTGTAGCAGACAGAGCGGGCTCTCCGTTGTCTTTAGCAATAACAACCATTCTCTGGTGGCGCGGATCTCTGTAGCTGAACATCCTCATAGTCCGGATCTCTCCGTTGTACTGGTCCAGACTGAACAAGGTGGCGTCAGTCACCTGTAGAAACTGGTAGGTAATCCGAGAGTTGTGCACCGAGTCTGTGTCTAAGGCTATCACCTTGGCAACCAGAGAGCCTTTTTCGGTGGACCTGGGGATCTTTTCCTCCACCACCGAGCCGTGCGCTCGCCACGGAGACACAATGACCGGAGCGTTGTCGTTCTGGTCCACAATGATGATGTGGACCGTGACGTTACTGCTGAGTGGAGGAGAGCCAGAGTCTCTGGCCTCGATGTGGAAAAGAAAATCCTTCTCGATCTCATAGTCAAAAGTTTTCAGTGCGTAAAGATTGCCGTTCTCTGGGTTGATGGAGAACAGCATGGACATGGAGGTGTTGGCTATCTCCTTCTCGAGGATGAAATAAACTAGATACTGGTTTTCATGGAGGTCAGGGTCAAAGGCAGTGAGGGAGCTGAGCAGGGCCCCAGGTGCGTTATTCTCCATCACACGTATCGTGTAAAATGACTGAGAGAACTGAGGTACATTGTCATTGACATCCAGCAGCTCTAACGTCATAGTTTCATTGTCAGATAAAGGAGGAGAACCTCTGTCTGTCACAGTGAAAGTGATGTCATATTCTGGGACCTTCTCACGGTCTAACGGCTCTGACACCACTAATTCATAATAGTTATCAGAGGACTCCCTCAGTTTGAAAGGCATATTATCAGGAATGTGAAGATCAACCACCCCATTGTCACCTGAGTCTTTATCACTGACACTAACTACAGCTATGACTGTGTCTAATTCTATGTTTTCATTGACTGGACTCTGAAATGACTTAATCGATATTTCTGGGTGGTTGTCATTCATGTCTTCCACCAGAATCTTTATGGTACATTGTCCTGACAAACTGTTGGCTCCTTTGTCTGTTGCTATAACTTCCATATCATAAATCCTGAAGTCTTCATAGTTCAACATTCCTTTAACAGTAATTTCACCAGTGGAAGGATTCAGATGAAATGTTTCTTGTGTTTTCTCTGATGTATATAAACTGTATGAGTATGTTAAATCAGAATTAGATCCCTCATCTAAGTCTGTGGCATTAAGATGGATAACAAGGCTCCCTATGGGAGAATTTTCCATAATTTGTATATTATAACTAATTTTGTCAAATGTAGGAGCGTTGTCATTCGTATCTAGAACACGAACAATTACACTTGCAGTACCAGACCGAGGAGGTGTTCCTCCATCTACAGCTGTTAGTATTAAATGATGAACAGCCTGCTGCTCTCGATCTAAGTCCTTTTTTAATATGAATTCGGCAAATTTAGACCCATCTCGTCCCGTCTGGACTTCAATATTGAAATATTCACTTTCACTTAGATGGTACGTTTTTACTGAATTACTTCCGACATCAGGATCCACTGCATTACTGAGAGAGAATCTTTCTCCTTTTGGCGTAGCTTCAGATATGTCTAAGTGGATAATGTCTCTCCGAAACTGTGGGGCGTTGTCGTTCATATCTAAAATTTCTACTTCTATGTTAAATATTCGCACCGGGTTTTCTAGTATTATTTCAAGTTTTAGATAACAAGACACTGATGACTTGGTAGGGCAAATGTTTTCTCTGTCGATCTTCTCAACAACATATAGTTCCCCAGTCTCTTTATTCACGTCCAGATATTTCTTACTTGCGATGATATCAAGTCTCATCTTCCGTTGCTTTAGTGTTTTAACATCCAGGCTCAGATCGGTGGCAAGATTAGCAACGACTGATCCTTCTTTCATTTCTTCTGGTATCGAATAATGAGTCACTGAAGCCGATATGTGATGAACAAACGAGACAAGAATAACGAGCAGCACGTACCTTTGGAAAGGCTCCATTGTTACAATGTGTCCCATTGTTGTGTGCGCGTGAACTGCCGTAAAACCGATATCATTTAAATTTCCAGTTATGTTGAAGATTGTTGTTACTTCTCTGATCCCATGAAAATGTACATAGTACTACTCACGAGAGCATTTAGGCGCTATACAAGACAACAGCGTTTTAGGATTAGAGTTTCAGCACCACGGAGCTGTCCGGTATGCTCACAATGGGCACGGATGAGAAGGATATTCACCAATATGGCGTTCATGGGTTGGCATTTTACTTATAAAACAGCGCCACCTTCTGCATTTGACAACACATTGTGTCCATGAAGCATTTTAAATAATAATAATGATCAAAGCAGATTACACATGTTTTTACTTATTTTTGTTTTTTTAATTTCGCAGAAATTAATCAGGTGCTCTATTAGGAGTTGTAGCACTCTAAATTGCATGTTAGGGCATGTAAAAAAAAAAAAAAAAAGTTCTTGGTAAGTGATGTATAAAAAATGAATCGATTTTTGACTCTTACCTGCAGAGTGGAGGCTGCTGAGTCACTCGTGTCTGTCAGTCCTGTTCCTCTTGGTAAACTGGACACGATGTATCTGGAGCCCTTTGGCACAGGCTGTCTGACCACCAGCTTTCCTTTCCTGGTCTCTGCTAGAAACAGACTGTACCAGTAAGCATCGTTGGAGACCAGAGTGGAGTCTGCGATGGTGGAGTTCCTCTCACTGATCACACTGTTCCTGCAGGGAGCAGCAGCTTTGCTGGGCTTGGATTTCTGACACTTGAGCACGATGGTGACCAATATGGTGATGAGCAGGAGAAATGACACAGAGCCCAGACCGATGACCAAATACAGGTTCAGGTCTGAGAAGATGTCGTACTCCAGAGGTACCTCAGTCATGTCAGAGAAGGCCTTAACTGCAGTCTCCATTGTGGACAGCTTGATGGTGACTGTAGCAGACAGAGCGGGCTCCCCGTTGTCTTTAGCAATAACAACCAGTCTCTGGTGGCGCGGATCTCTGTAGCTGAACATCCTCATAGTCCGGATCTCTCCGTTGTACTGGTCCAGACTGAACAAGGTGGCGTCAGTCACCTGTAGAAACTGGTAGGTAATCCGAGAGTTGTGCACCGAGTCTGTGTCTAAGGCTATCACCTTGGCAACCAGAGAGCCTTTTTCGGTGGACCTGGGGATCTTTTCCTCCACCACCGAGCCGTGCGCTCGCCACGGAGACACAATGACCGGAGCGTTGTCGTTCTGGTCCACAATGATGATGTGGACCGTGACGTTACTGCTGAGTGGAGGAGAGCCAGAGTCTCTGGCCTCGATGTGAAAAGAAAATCCTTCTCGATCTCATAGTCAAAAGTTTTCAGTGCGTAAAGATTGCCGTTCTCTGGGTTGATGGAGAACAGCATGGACATGGAGGTGTTGGCTATCTCCTTCTCGAGGATGAAATAAACTAGATACTGGTTTTCATGGAGGTCAGGGTCAAAGGCAGTGAGGGAGCTGAGCAGGGCCCCAGGTGCGTTATTCTCCATCACACGTATCGTGTAAAATGACTGAGAGAACTGAGGTACATTGTCATTGACATCCAGCAGCTCTAACGTCATAGTTTCATTGTCAGATAAAGGAGGAGAACCTCTGTCTGTCACAGTGAAAGTGATGTCATATTCTGGGACCTTCTCACGGTCTAACGGCTCTGACACCACTAATTCATAATAGTTATCAGAGGACTCCCTCAGTTTGAAAGGCATATTATCAGGAATATGAACATCAACCACCCCATTGTCACCTGAGTCTTTATCACTGACACTAACTACAGCTATGACTGTGTCTAATTCTATGTTTTCATTGACTGGACTCTGAAATGACTTAATCGATATTTCTGGGTGGTTGTCATTCATGTCTTCCACCAGAATCTTTATGGTACATTGTCCTGACAAACTGTTGGCTCCTTTGTCTGTTGCTATAACTTCCATATCATAAATCCTGAAGTCTTCATAAATTCAACATTCCTTTAACAGTAATTTCACCAGTGGAAGGATTCAGATGAAATGTTTCTTGTGTTTTCTCTGATGTATATAAACTGTATGAGTATGTTAAATCAGAATTAGATCCCTCATCTAAGTCTGTGGCATTAAGATGGATAACAAGGCTCCCAATGGGAGAATTTTCCATAATTTGTATACTATAACTAATTTTGTCAAATGTAGGAGCGTTGTCATTCGTATCTAGAACACGAACAATTACACTTGCAGTACCAGACCGAGGAGGTGTTCCTCCATCTACAGCGGTGAGAATTAAATTATGAACCGCCTTTTTCTCTCTGTCTAAGTCCTTTTTTAATATGAATTCAGCAAATTTAGACCCATCTCGTCCTGTCTGCACTTCAATATTGAAATATTCACTTTCACTCAGATGGTACGTTTTTACTGAATTACTTCCGACATCAGGATCCACTGCATTACTGAGAGAGAATCTTTCTCCTTTTGGCGTAGCTTCAGATATGTCTAAGTGGATAATGTCTCTCCGAAACTGTGGGGCGTTGTCGTTAATATCTAAAATTTCTACTTCTATGTTAAAGATTCGCACCGGGTTTTCTAGTATTATTTCAAGTTTGAGATAACAAGACACTGATGACTTGGTAGTGCAAATGTTTTCTCTGTCGATCTTCTCAACAACATATAGTTCCCCAGTCTCTTTATTCACGTCCAGATATTTCTTACTTGCGATGATATCAAGTCTCATCTTCCGTTGTTTTAGTGTTTTAACATCCAGGCTCAGATCGGTGGCAAGATTAGCAACGACTGATCCTTCTTTCATTTCTTCTGGTATCGAATAATGAGTCACTGAAGCCGATATGTGATGAACAAACGAGACAAGAATAACGAGCAGCACGTACCTTTGGAAAGGCTCCATTGTTACAATGTGTCCCATTGTTGTGTGCGCGTGAACTGCCGTAAAACCGATATCATTTAAATATCCAGTTATGATGAAGATTGTTGTTACTTCTCTGATCCCATGAAAATGTACATAGTACTACTCACGAGAGCATTTAGGCGCTATACAAGACAACAGCGTTTTAGGATTAGAGTTTCAGCCCCACGGAGCTGTCCGGTATGCTCACAATGGGCACGGATGAGAAGGACTATTCACCAATATGGCGTTCATGGGTTGGCATTTTACTTATAAAACAGCGCCACCTTCTGCATTTGACAACACATTGTGTCCATGAAGCATATTTAATAAATAATAATTAAAAAGGCAGATAAAACCTGTTTTTACTTATTTATTTGCACATATTTCGCTGAAAGTAATCAGAAACTCTATTAGGAGTTGTAGCACTCTAAATTGTATGTTAGGGCATGTAAAAAAAAAAAGTGTTCCTGGTAAGTGATGTATACAAAATTAATCATTTTTGGCCTCTTACCTGCAGAGTGGAGGCTGCTGAGTCACTCGTGTCTGTCAGTCCTGTTCCTCTTGGTAAACTAGACACGATGTATCTGGAGCCCTTTGGCACAGGCTGTCTGACCACCAGCTTTCCTTTCCTGGTCTCTGCTAGAAACAGACTGTACCAGTAAGCATCGTTGGAGACCAGAGTGGAGTCTGCGATGGTGGAGTTCCTCTCACTGATCACACTGTTCCTGCAGGGAGCAGCAGCTTTGCTGGGCTTGACTTTCTGACACTTGAGCACGATGGTGACCAATATGGTGATGAGCAGGAGAAATGACACAGAGCCCAGACCGATGACCAAATACAGGTTCAGGTCTGAGAAGATGTCGTACTCCAGAGGTACCTCAGTCATGTCAGAGAAGGCCTTAACTGCAGTCTCCATTGTGGACAGCTTGATGGTGACTGTAGCAGACAGAGCGGGCTCCCCGTTGTCTTTAGCAATAACAACCAGTCTCTGGTGGCGCGGATCTCTGTAGCTGAACATCCTCATAGTCCGGATCTCTCCGTTGTACTGGTCCAGACTGAACAAGGTGGCGTCAGTCACCTGTAGAAACTGGTAGGTAATCCGAGAGTTGTGCACCGAGTCTGTATCTAAGGCTATCACCTTGGCAACCAGAGAGCCTTTTTCGGTGGACCTGGGGATCTTTTCCTCCACCACCGAGCCGTGCGCTCGCCACGGAGACACAATGACCGGAGCGTTGTCGTTCTGGTCCACAATGATGATGTGGACCGTGACGTTACTGCTGAGTGGAGGAGAACCAGAGTCTCTGGCCTCGATGTGGAAAAGAAAATCCTTCTCGATCTCATAGTCAAAAGTTTTCAGTGCGTAAAGATTGCCGTTCTCTGGGTTGATGGAGAACAGCATGGACATGGAGGTGTTGGCGATCTCCTTCTCGAGGATGAAATAAACTAGATACTGGTTTTCATGGAGGTCAGGGTCAAAGGCAGTGAGGGAGCTGAGCAGGGCCCCAGGTGCGTTATTCTCCATCACACGTATCGTGTAAAATGACTGAGAGAACTGAGGTACATTGTCATTAACATCCAGCAGCTCTAACGTCATAGTTTCATTGTCAGATAAAGGAGGAGAACCTCTGTCTGTCACAGTGAAAGTGATGTCATATTCTGGGACCTTCTCACGGTCTAACGGCTCTGACACCACTAACTCATAATAGTTATCAGAGGACTCCCTCAGTTTAAAAGGCATATTATCAGGAATGTGAAGATCAACCACCCCATTGTCACCCGAGTCTTTATCACTGACACTAACTACAGCTATGACTGTGTCTAATTCTATGTTTTCATTGACTGGACTCTGAAATGACTTAATCGATATTTCTGGGTGGTTGTCATTCATGTCTTCCACCAGAATCTTTATGGTACATTGTCCTGACAAACTGTTGGCTCCTTTGTCTGTTGCTATAACTTCCATATCATAAATCCTGAAGTCTTCATAGTTCAACATTCCTTTAACAGTAATTTCACCAGTGGAAGGATTCAGATGAAATGTTTCTTGTGTTTTCTCTGATGTATATAAACTGTATGAGTATGTTAAATCAGAATTAGATCCCTCATCTAAGTCTGTGGCATTAAGATGGATAACAAGGCTCCCTATGGGAGAATTTTCCATAATTTGTATATTATAACTAATTTTGTCAAATGTTGGAGCGTTGTCATTTGTGTCTAAAACACGAACAATTACACTTGCAGTACCAGACCGAGGAGGTGTTCCTCCATCTACAGCTGTTAGTATTAAATGATGAACAGCCTGCT